GTGTGTCTCGGCGTGTACACGAGTAGGCGTGTAGGTAAATAATATGCGCACAGTGTTATTATAATACACGAGCCGTACACGTAATAAGATTTACGGAAACCTACTCGATTTTATGACAACCGAACGGTATTTTACATTTCTTTTTTTTTATTATTATTATTATTATTATTATTATTTTTTTTACCTTTTTCTAAAGGGCGTCAACCCGCGCCCGTATATACGTGTACTATATAAAATATTGTGTGTGTTTATATATAAATATACCTCTAATGGATACGTACGTATCGGAATAATAATAGAAGGTGTATTACCCAGTGTGTGTAAGCGCGTACACGCGCGCGCAGTACCTACACCATGCGTACGTTCGGGTGTAGTTCTGTATTAATACTGTTGCATGCGCATAACACGTTCAGACGGAGTCGTTTTCGAAACAAAAAAAAAAAAAACCGAAAACGGTGTAAAAACCGATGGAAAAGGGCTGTCCGGGTTAGGTCGGTCCGGACGGTGTTCGGAATATTATTTAGGCTGTTTGTTTTCTTTATGCGGCGTTTCCTGTTTCCTGTCACGTAGCGCCCGTACGCGCAGCGGCCCGCGTCCTGACTACGGCCGAAACGCTGCCAACCATGCGATTCCGCGCCGCGCCGCCGCCGCCGTCGCCGTACGACCGTGACGACCGGTCCCGATTTTTCGTTCGCCGTCGTGGCGAAAAAAAAAACGCGCGCCTGTATCACGGGAAAAAACGCGAACGGCAGACAGAATTTACTCGCGATATTATTCATTATACTCCTAGCTGTACCGCGGCCCGACGACGGCGGTGGACACGCCACGAGCGTCCCGGCGAATCGTTTTCCCGCGGCAAAAACGTCGACGCATTATTACACGGCCATATATTGGTGTCGAAAAAAAAAAAAAAAAACAAAAATGCGATTCCGTTTGTCGCGATAGACAGACCCCGTAGTATCGAAGTATACGTATAAATTATTTAATTTATTATTATTGTTATTATTATGTATTTCGTATACGCGCGTAGGCTCGTGTACAGTAAAGGTAAACTACATTAATCGAACTTAACCGTGCGCGCGAAACGCGGTATCACAGCGCAGAATACGTTCTATAATAAAATTAGATTATAAATAATTAACAATAACAATGAGTGTAGATAACAGTCTGTAGCGTTAAAAAAAAAAAAATGTCAAAAACATAATAACAAATATTATGGTTCGGCAAATGTAAATGTCACGGGTAAAACAAATCAAAGTTTTTTTTTTTTTGAATTCATTACACTCTCCGGCGGTGTGATCCAAGGGATTATTATAGCCATAAGAGGTACGATGGAACGGAATAGAAAATGTAGGACAGTATCGCAAATCACATTGAATAACATTGAAATTTAAGGAATGTTATAAATTCTGATGTATACCAGAATTTGGAATTTGGTCTTAAAGCGCTTGAAATCAATAAAACGCCGTTTAAACCTTAAAAAAGCATTTGAAAACTTCATTATAGCCGTGAAATAAGCGTTTGAGAAATATTAAAAAACAATAAAAATCATATCGAAATTTATATTTGATCACTTGAATCTTTTTAACACTTTATTCACGGATTTGTATTGTCCGATGCCCAACAACGGTCCACACAACAAGTACGCAAAAAAATAATTCTATTTGTCTAGAAACCACAGGAGGGGTGAGATCCAAGTTTGGTCAGTGGGTTATGTAATTATAAAGTAAAAAATAATGCAAAACAAAAGAAAATTCAGGAAAAACTGGTAAAAACAGTATTGAAAACCTCGAAATAAGCAAAAAAAGAATATAATATACTTCAAATTTCATATTTGAACTCGTTGTTACATAATATGAATCTTAAATTTCCACTAGTATTGTGTTAGATTTAATAACACGGCAAAAATCTAATCAAATTCTATAAGTCCCGAACCCTGGTAATAACATTATCAATGTTATCATGTATCGTTCATAACTCAACATTTGTCAATTTTGAACTACTACCTGCAGGTTCGTCGTTTGCGGGACGCAAGTAATAAATAATTTATAAAATAAGTGCATGAAAACATCGAAATATATGGGGAAAAATTTATACAATTGTAGTGTAATTATAAAAAATGTACGGAGAAATATATCAAATATGTAATTAAAAAAATTTGAATTTAAAATAAAAATAGTGTTACGACCGGAAAACTTTAATTTGGTGTAATTTCTTACACGGGTTATGTTTTGCACTCAACAGTTATATAATTTCTTTTAAATTGTTAAACATCGCCTATTAGATTTTAAAATACCGATATATCTTACCAAAACTTTAAACATTTTATTCTTATAAGAATACGCGTTTACTAATTGCAAACCCATTCCCTAGTTGTCATATACATTATACATTATTATTTTAAATCACGTGTAGTTATCAAGTAAATTTAAAGAAAAAAATTGCCCGATCGCCGATTAGATAAAATTTGCTGCCAGAAAAGATACCGCGATTGAAAATCGGAAGAAGATTTCTGGTAAAAAATTTGTTAACGGGCAGAAAAAAGAACACACACACACACACACACTATCTGTAGTAAAATTAATACATTTCTCGTCGGACTCAGAATCTAAAATGACCCGAAGCTCTTCGCACTGCACTCCAATGGTAACGGTGTCATTCCTGTGTACGAGGGACCCGCGCGTGAAACGTAAGGTTTATATTATAATGTAATTGAGATATTCTGAGGAAATGTCGAAGGAAGTGACCGAGCAGAAAACAATCAATTACACACCGACGACAACGCGACGGTTGACCGGTCGATCCGGAGGGGGTTTTTAAACGGCCGTCGTGAAAAATATACCTGGGTCGCAAACTGGGGAGTCACACAAGACTGGTCAGTATGTATGTGTACCTATACATTTAAACAATATATACTGGTATATATTGTAAAGAAGATCGGGGGAAAAAAAAAAAAAACCAATTTGTCAAGTCTATCCGCGACGCACGACGTGGAAAAATACTAGCGATGCCAGTGCGGGAACAGACGTACGGTTTAACGGGGTTTAACTGACTGCCACTGGTGCGATTCTACAATGTTCGAGGAAAAAAACAACCTCCCAGAAATCTACAGACTTACTCGAAATTCATCGCGGATTGGCGTCGTCGCTTCACGCGATACACGAATTATCCCGTATATCTACTGACAATTCAAAATATTAGCATTAACAATTGTTCGAAAATCTAAATTCTTTTTGACAAACAATAACAGGTACACAGTATAGGTACCGGTTGCGGTCCAGGAATGTGAGGATGTGTAGCAAATATGAGAATCGTGAATAAATCGTAAATTCGTATTCTCTACCTAATTCCACTACGGGAATCGGTAATTTAAAAGCCAGTTTCTTTAAGTCGTAATTTGGCTGAAATATATGCATTTTGATACTAGATTACTCATATTTGTATTGTTTTTTTGAAGCTAATGGGGGGGGGAGATGTAACCATTGACCTCTCCCCTGCGCACGCCACTGGTGGGTACTTATGTTACATTTATTTCTAGATCTATAATTCTGGGAGTCTACGCGTATCTTTTTGGACTTCCAAAGTTTGAAGTAGCTAAGGATATAGCAAGTTCTATTCACATACATTATTGATTTAATTTTATAAATTCGACTACCTATCGTTCTCTAGCATTTTATATCTAGTATACAACTTTTAGATTCCAAGTAAAGCCCAGAATGTATTGATTTTACTATGATTTTTTTTTTTTTGTTGTTGTCTGTTTAGTATTTTTCTATCTAAAATCTTGCTTCAATGAAAAAATTAATTTTCTTGTAAAATTGTTGATTTTGACTTTATTGTAGTTTTCTAAATAAATGGGAAAAATTGATAATTGCTTGTACAATTTTTTTTTATTTTTGAGTTACCATGGCAACATGGAAACAAATAAGACTGATAATACTCTGTTAAAAATCGTTTTTCATAAGCAATGGTATATTGCTCCGTATAAATTAAATTACTCTGTATTTTCTCCCTTATAATTTTTCTCTTAAACCAGTGAGACGCCCATCGATAGTACCATCCTTTTAGATTCTGAGCGTAGCAAGGTAGCTATTGGTTTTTACAATGTTGTTTATTTCTTTTTCTTTGTTCTATTCTGTAGACAAGTTTTTTCCTAGTAAACTTGCTCAGATTTTTACTTGTAGCAACTTTTCTGAAAGCTCAAGTTATTTAAACTGTACTTAAAATGAGTCATTTTTTGATTTTCAACGCCATTTTTTAAATAAAATTGCTTAAGTGGGAGAAAACATAGGAAAACTAACAATTTTACGATTTCATTATTTTATAAAATCACGGACAACGTTTTCTACCAGAAAAAATGATTTAATTGCAAAATCACAAGATACCATTTTTCTGGACTTTTTATTTTCTTACGGTATCATCGCCGAAACTTTTGAGCAACTTTTAAACTTTTAAGGAATTTTTATTTTCGGGAATTTTTTCTTGTAACTCAGTTATAAATACACGCGGAGACTTTAAACTTAGTAATAATATTTATATTAAACTTAACTAGATGTAGTGAAATTTCCAAAATCATCCGACTACTTTTTTTTTTTAATAAGCGTTTTGAAATCAAATTTAAACGAAAATCACAAAATAAATTACGGGACTTCATATTATGTATTACCGAACTACGTTTTTCGTCAAGCAATGATTTATCGTTGCTTACAGATATAAATGAAATAACCTTATGTACCCTACCTTCCCAACTTCTCACCTACAACAGTGGCCGCTCCCATTCCCAGTACCAGTTCTTTTTTTATATTCAAGTTTTCTAGTTATATGATTTAATACAAATATATTGCAGAGTAACATTATTATTAATTATTATTTTATACTCAAAAAATTGTCGACGAAAATATTGAATAAAAAGACTCCGTGTAATTGAAAATGTCGACGACCAAAAGTATCAAAAAATACCGAATAACCGAATAAAAATGGGAAATATCGTTTTTAGTACTTTAAAATAATATACTAGCTACTAATTTCTCGTCGACGTGTAGGATCAAAATCTTCAGTGATAAAATATATTATTAAAACAAATCGTGTGTGTGTGTGTGTGTGTGTGTGTGTGTGTGTGTGTGTATGTGTGTGTGTGTGCGTGCGTGTGACAACTCTCCCGGTTTAAAGTCGGAACACGCGCGTAATTTTCCCTCTGAAAATATTTTTATAATAAAATATTATTATACCTGGGTGATTTTCGTTTTGATTTATGAAAAGAGTTAATATTTGTAATTTATACACGTCTGCTGTAGCGTAATAAACACTACACTATCTACAGACCGAGTAATGTAAAACAGACCGACTTACGAATACTGTATACCTATACACTAACAGTAAACGAACATTTTCAACAAACGAAATAATAATATTGTTTATTTTTTGTTAATGCATCAGCCGTACGAAAATCCCATATTTAATGCGCATAAATACATAATCAATACCATTTAGCACTATAACTATATAGTTTCAGGTTAAGTACAAGATACGTAAAAAAAAAAAAATCTTTGACGCAAACTGCATGATTAGATAGACAGCAGCTATGTACCCAATGATTCTCCGCTCGTTTTAATTTTTAAAATGCACAAGAATCTCGTAAACCTAGTATCCATCGGAAAATTGCAAACGACTCAATGATTTACCACGAAAAACACTCTTCCAATCAGTAAAAACATTCACAATCGTTCATATTTACTTTCGGTGCTAAATTTCAAAAAAATAAAAAACTAACGCTTTAGAAAAAAATCGATATTATATTGTGCGTCATCCACGCAAAGATGGTAAACTTTGAACAGCGCCGTGGTCTACTGCACCTAAATATGATACTAAAACGTGTTTCCGACTATTTTTCGTTTTTATTTTTTCTTCTCTTTAATAAGAAAAACGGTCGCGCCCCCTAATATAACTTAACGATAATATTATTATTAAAACGTTTCGTATCGCAGAGGTAGGTACGCGCGCGTTATTTTATTGTATTATAATTTAGTAGTATATTACCATTTGATATACCGTGCCCGGTAGGCATCGTGCACGTCGCGCAACACACCGGCGCTGTGCAGAGTGTGTTAATATGATAATAATAATAATAATAATAATAATAAAATAATAATGATAGTAGAAACCGACGTCCGCCGCCGCAGCCGTAGCCGCGTCCGTCTCCGCCAGAGGGGGACGCGCCTCAATAAATCAATCAGTCGTGCCGGGCTCGCGTCGTATCGCCGGGCACCCATCAGCCGTCGTGACCGATGCCCCACAACTGTTTACATATTATTAAAAAAAAAAAAAAAAAAACGAAAATTTGTTATTCCTTCCTCTCCACTCCGATTCGCATTATAATTTAATATTAACTATACTAATATTGTAATAATCGCCGTCGTTCGATCGCCGCCGCGGTCTCGATCCTCCCATCGCGGCGCGCTGCTCGCATCCCGTTATTACAACAATAGAAACATAATGTAAACAACGAAAATCGCGCAGACGCCTTCTCGATTATTTTGGTATATTTTCATATTTATGACGACGTTCGGCGTGCGTCGGAGGCGAGGTCATACCGCGTGTTAAAACGGGCCACACGCGTCACGTGATGCCGGAAATGTCATATCACGAAAAACTGTGACGGTAAACGCAACCTGATAAAACACCTCTCCGAACCTGCAAAGAACAAAAACAACGCCACTGCGTTTATTCCGGAGCCCGGAGCATGCGGTTGGGGTTAATAAGACTATAACTAACATTGCCCCAGTCGAGCCCTTAATATATAAGATAGGGACCTCAAAAAATACTAACAATATTTTGATAAGAGAAATAAAAAAAAAAAAAATCTATAAAAAGTATATCTTCTTCTCCTACGCTTCCATCCCAATTACATGGGGTCGGTCATCCTTTCACTTGACCTAATCTCCCACACCGCATACACCGGATTTCCTATTATCATTCTATATCGCGTGAAACTAAAATTCAAAAGTGTATATTCATCCATATTATAAAGAGAAAAAAAAATGATGTTTTAAAAATTTCATCGAACCAAGTTCTCAGGTCGAAAAACCGCTCAGAATCTAAAAAAATATATAGGTACGCGTGTACAGTAAATAATATAAATATATATAATAGCAAACATTTTTTTAATACGATTTAAATTTAGTATTTATAATGGCTTCTCGTCGAAAAATTGTTTTTGTTCATTTAATTTCTTTTTTTCCCTTGGAAAATACTTTTTAAATAAGACTCTAAACGGAGATACATTAGAATTATTTCAATAATAATGGTCACATTAAACAAAAACGGAGGCAGCAGGCAGTGGATTATTTTTGAAATATTGTGTATATTTCACTGTAGGTCGTGCGCGTCGTTGCGTAGTATAAGTAAAACGCACGTGGTCTGCGTATTAATAATAAAAAAACACGATCGCGTTTGAATTTTAAACATAATATAATAGTATTACAGGTACGTATATTACTGTCGAATCGTCGTTCACCGGTGAATCGGTTGGATGTACCAATATTCTATTTGAAATAATATAAAATAATATTATTTATGAAATTTCACAATAAACGCTGATAAAAATCAGATGAAATCTCGTATATCGTAAAAATAAAGAAAAAAGAACATATTTCGCACGATGTGAGGATCACTGTTTTAGGTGAGAATCTGGAAGGCAGAGGGAAAATTTAATGTATATCTGTACGCAAAGATTAATTATTGCTAATAAAAAACGATTTTGAAAGGGAGTTCGGTTAAACACATTTTAAAAGGCCGTAATATTTAAGATTTGAAAATAATATGTTATTTCGCAAATTTTCCCGATTATTATTAAAACGCATGGAAAAATCAAAAACCGACCTACTTAATATACCACCCTAGTCAAGTTCCCTTTCAGAAAAAGTGTTACACTTGAATATCGGAATGAAATTTCAAGTGGAAAAGTTGTTCGCAGATAAAATAAAAAAACATCATTGTAAAACTAGTTCATTCATCTCGCTCCACTCAGAATCCATGAGGTTACACAGAAATCAACAAAACATTAACAGTTAATTTATCAAGAAAATTACAAGAAAAAAAAAGAATAACTCATCGCACCAATTATATCAAATTAGATCTATTAGATTAAATAGAAAACTTGTTTACAGACAGAAAAAAATAAAAAAAACATCGATTAAAAGTACTCTAGATTTATGATGGTTTATCAGTCAGTCGGTGCCAAAAATTGTGGTTTTTGGATACTATCGGTAACTGTTTTACTTAGACGAACTAAATTTTGAATACTGTTATTTGTTTTTTTTTTTCCGGAAATCTTAATCGGTACTTTAAAATAACTAGTTCCGGAGATTGGCCGAAAGGCTCGAAATGTTTCATGTAAATATTGCACTATGTATGCATGCGGCCGAACCTGGCCTGGCGCACTACCGTGCGCTCAGATTTACACATTAGAATTTATAGATCGAGTGACAACTGCGCATCACATCTACGTGGTCGGCATAACGTTAGAACAACTGGAACGTCGTCGCAGGGAAAAATAAACTGTTCGATAAGATTTTTTTTTAAAAATAACCTCCAAAAAAACATTCGACTGGATCGCGTTCATACTTATTAGTGAATATTTAAAACTTGTTGAACATAATATATAATGTAACGTCTGGAATATTTTGTTTTAGATTCTGAGTGGAGCGAAGAAGCTTATAGTTTTACAAATATGTTTGTAATATGAAAGTAAATCGGTGTGGGGACGTACTTTAAGGAGATCATTTTTCGATTTTCTCAGGAGTTTTCTCATCAAATTTGAAAAATCGAAAAAAAAACTAAGGAAAAACGGGTAACTATAAGAAATGTAGATATTAGTTAAAATGTATTACGGCCTCCTTTTTTCCCGTGGACAACTTTTTTACCAGCAATTTTGTTTCAATTTATAATGATAGCCATGTTTCTAAAAGCAAATTTGACTGGGGAGGTACTTTAGGGAGGTAACTATACGATTTTCCCAAGAGTTTTCCAAGTAAATGCGAAAAACCGGGAAAAACGTAGGGAAAATGGGAAAATCTGTACAATATTAAACGAATATTATTAAAGATAATAAAGAAAGCCTTTTTAATAATTTTGCTAATAATATGGCGTTTATTGTTGACAATGCATCGCTATTAACTGAATCACAATCGTTTTTTTGTAAGCAATGGTTTATCGCTTACAGGAATACAATAAATTACCTATAACAGTGGCTGCTCCAGTCCCCATTTTCCTAGGACGTCTTTTTTTTATACTCTAATACCTATATTATACTTATATATAATTAAAAAATCCCGTGTAATGTAATAAAAAAAGGTAAATATTAAAAGTCGAATTCGTTTGAATACTGATATATTCTTTCTTTGTCTTACAATGACGTATTGGTGACATCGTTCGTTGGATCGTGTCTATTGATTTATATGCTATTAACACCAAAAAAAAAATCAACTGACCGTTGTAACCCATACGGGAGAAAATATGGATTCAGCCCAACTCTACTAATTTTCTAACAAGCATAATACCAAAGTAATACGATAAAAGGCAAACGACACGATACGCACGACGTTGCTAGGATTCCGCCTTAACACTTGGTGATTTAGACCAATTTTCCATCAAACCAGTCCAATCCTTATAGTAGAAACTCCATAACACTTTTGAATTCAGCATAAAAGGTGTTCACGAAGCCAGTTTTTTAGTATTTTTATAAACCTTCAAAACAAATTTTTGGGAATTTCAGTATGCGTTGAAATTAAAAAAATCGCCAGACCGCGATGACAAATTGTATACATTCCACGCTGAATTGATATTGGTTTTCAGAATTCTTATCACTCCGCTACATCGGTCGTACTAATTAAAAAAACATTTGTTCGGAACATTGAGCCGAAACAAAGAAGGAAAATCTAACAAATCCAAAGGCCAACTTATTATGTAATGTATATTAATAAAAACAGATTGGGAAATTAATTGAGATAATTATAAATTATTATCGAACGCGGCCGATGGTTTTTTTGATGCGTCGATTAATAATGTTATAAATATAACATCATATACAATTAAAAACTTGTAATAATACATGTTAACGCGATTAAACCCGATAGGTAGTTATCGTAAAATGATATAATAGCGGTAATTATAATCTAACGTAATAAGACGTTTTCAGTTGCCGCGTCGTACGGAATTATAAATATTTTCTTGCGCATGTACTTACTAATTATAATTATTACCTATTAATTTGTAGAACAAATTCTGAATATCAAAAAAAAAAAAAAAATTATAAAAAAAAATATTAGATACTCGTACGTGAATTAGCAGAATAAACTAAGATGTCCCGGATCGCGTTGAATCGAATAATCGGTGGTGTTTTCGTGATGTAGATTTGACTTAATACTAATAGATCAATCCCGATTTGTCAACAGACTGTCCGACTAAATCGAGCGGCGGCCGTGCTGTGTGTACGCCAGAGCTCTGCTCGCTCCACTCCGGACTGTATTTTTTACTTTGGAATTCATTAAGGTCCGGTCTTTTCGGTCTTGTTTATTCGAGTCTTCTTTCGGTCTGGTCCAGTCCGTCCATAATTTTAAGGTCCGGTCCGGTTTAAATGTCGATGGCCATTATAATAGAATAATTATAATATTATCTAAAACATAAAAAATAAACTATTATCTGGGCTATCTGGGGTAACGATTTCAAATCACACACGACACGGAAGCGAATAACACAGCGATAAAACATAATTTTGGGTTTTTTTTATGTTATTTGTACATCGACTGAACTCCGCTCAGAATCGTTTTTTCGTTAGCAATGGTTTATCGTTACTTGCAGATATGGGCGGTAGGGAATGACCGGAAAAGGGCCACATTTTATCTAACTGTTTCGTAAATAATATTTTTGTACATTTTAGTATCCGAGTTATTGGGCCACAAATAAAAGGTATATTTTTAAAGGGTACCCGGAGATTGGGCCACAAATGTATAACACGAACATATAATTTTAAATATATTAAATTATATACCTAATATAAAATTAATCAAGTAATTATTAATTTATTTTAAAATAATGTGATACAGATTGCTTTGCATAGTATTCAAAAGTGCCGTCATCATAAATCGAAATATAAAAATAGTTACAAATAGCGGTGTTAAATAGTGGTTTTCCTTTTGTCAAATCTAAAATGCATTAAAATAAAGTGGCCCAATTACCGAATCAAATAATACATTTTCTTGTAAAATAGTGGCCCAATCACCGGGTCTACGTGCTGTAAATGTAAAATTTTAGTGGCCCAATTACCATATACATTATTAAAAAAACGACCATTGTGACCCGATTCCTGGACGCCCACAGTTATAGATCAAATTCCCGTCTATATCCTATCTTCTCAATTTTCTATTGACAACAGTGGCCGCATTCACGCCGAAGTACGTTCGCCTTTTTTAATTACGTATACAATGTTTAAATAATAAATCGAACACTATAATAGTTCCAGTCCAATCCCGACCCCGTGATTTATTCCATTAGCCGGGTAAATTCTCGTCTCAATTTGATTTCACCGGTGTAGTGCGGTCTTTAAAAAAAACCAAGCAACCAAGCTTTATGCAAAGCTATAGTACTAATATTAATAGAGTATTACTCTATACGGATTCGCAAGTCATTTCACGGGGTATCAAACAAAACAAAATATGGGCGGGCCACTCACGTGGCGCTAGAACATCGAAGTTGATACCAAAATTAGCCTCTTGAATTGCAACAATTTGCAACTATATATTCTAAAAATTTGTCACTGGGTTCGCAACAACCTCACGAAACGGATTGTCAACCGTGTCGTCGATACAAAACACATATTGTAGGTCGTATTCAAGGTTGCGAGTTTTTTTTTTTTTTTAAACATATTTCAGTTTTAATTATAATGTTATATTAATAGCAGCTAAATGCTTAAGCGGTGTATTAAGCTAAAGCAGACAAATTAATAAATACACGTTTTAAATTCAATATATTACGATTTCGATATCATTTGAGTAAAATCGTATAGACGCCTGCCTAATAAATTAATGGGTAATTTAACAATTCAATAAACCGCGACTGTTCGCTACGCAGTCGCGTAAACTTGCAACGAACACAGAACATACGTTGCGATTGTACAATAATTTCCAATACGTTCGGTATATGTACCGGTATATACACGGTGTAAAGGTGTTTTTCGGCACCTAGGTACCTATTTTCATCGTTACGGTGTTCCGATATCACGGTGTACACACCGTTCCTAAAACAAATGCGGCGCGCACCGTGCTGCCAGCGGTATACTCACCGAAAACACCGTCAGCCCGGAGCGTATTTATTTTTTTTTTTTCTCGTTAAAATTTCGACCGGTCACCGGCGATTATTTATAATAGTATACGATACACATAGTGTATAATAAAAGGGCTCTAATAAAGTGAGTATACCTACACATGTATAATACCATTATGCGCTTGCTCGTATAGTCACAATAATGACGTATTATAACAGTTAACCACCACCACCACCACCACCACCCCATCCCCGCCCCTCCCGCCCGGTAGTTTTCCCGTCGGCGGACGTGTCGGCTTATATAGCCGAAGACCTTTCGACCGGAACAGGAAACATCGTCGCAGCGGTCGCGGACGGGGTCCCGGCGGGTCACACGCGTAACGACCGACCGGCCGTCCGTCCGCACGTCCGGCGACGTGCCCGGACTGTTCAAAACGAACGCGACGCGTTTCGACACCGCCTCGAAAGTTGTCTTCGCGGAGGCGGTCCGGTTCGTTTTTTAAATATGTAATTTTGTTTTTTTTTTTTTTTTTTCCGTTTTTTCTTACCCGCCCGACGGTACGCGGGCTCTTTTCGTCCGCGTGCCGCGCGTCTGCGCCCGGGCACCGTTTTTATAATCCTCTCGACAGCGAAAATTCGTGTGTGCGGCGGCGACGAAGACGACGGCGGCGGCGGGTGGAAAAAACAAAAATCCGCCGCGCGCGCAGGGACGGACACACAACGTGTCGTACAAAAAAGAAAAAAAAAAAACCACGGCGCGTCCGTATTATTATTATTATTTCTTCGTTTTTTTTTTTTGTTTTTTTTTCCTTTTTCACCCGGACGTATCGTACCTGTAAGGTATAATAATAATAATAATAATAATATTCCCGTATGAGTTATCTGTGTGCATATATATATATCTACGAAACGCGGTAATAATATTATTAACGCGCGATAATAAGCGCGTGTAACACCGCCCCGCAGACGGGCGCGACACCTGTTGCGGAGGTACGGGCGGCGAGATGACACGCCGCCGCCGCCGCCGCCGCAGGGTTGTTGTACGGGCGCGGCGCGAGGGTGAATATATTTTCGCCGGCCGCCGGTACGCGGCGATCGGTTGCCGCGAGGAGGGGATGGGTGAGTGGGGGTTGGGGGGTGGGAATGGGCCGCTCAAAACGTTTCGACGCGCTGTTGTCGACGACGTGCGCGTCCGGCGGCACGGCGCGGCAAACGTTGCGTGTGGGGCGAGTGTGCGGCCGTAGCGCGGCGTCGACGCGACGACAGAACAGTGCCCGCGCGTTTTTTCGTTTTCGAATCTGGGTGGTACAATTAGCCGAGAAGGAAAACAGAAGTGAGATCGAGAGACCGCTCGAGCAAAAACGGCATTCGCGAATAAAAGAAACCTACCGCGTTCAGAAAAACCCGAGCACTGGTGTAAACAAACAGCTTATAAAAGTGCACGTGTGGAGCGTCGCACTGTGCGGTCGTGAAACTTGGGTGCTGAACAATGCGGAACAAATGTTCCTCGAATGTTTCGGGATGCGGCGCCGGAGAACAAGTGTTGCGAGCGAGCTGGACAGTGAGAAAAACAGACGAAAGAGTACCGCGGCGAAATCGATGAAACTGGGAAATTTACTTGACACTATCGAAGAAAAAAAACGGAATATGATGGGCCGTGTTCTCAGACACGGAGACGAGCTTCTACATATACTATAACAGAGGGGAAGACGAACGACAAAAGAGATAGAGGGCGGCCAAGAACGTCTTAAGCCGCGTCTACGCCAGTAAAAATTTACGTTGTGCGTCGTATTCGGCGCAAAAATGTTCGTGCGGCACTAAATATAGAATGAAGTTGCGACACAAATTTATGTTGCCGCGCAAAAAATCTATGGTCCACGGATCGTGTGTGTGAAATGCGCCGAAAATATTTGTGTGTCCTCTTATGCGGCGAACACGTCCCACACACGTACATATTTAGTGCCGCACGAAGAAATTTGCACCTAATACAAACGTAAATTTTTACTAGTGTGGACGCGGATTTACATTAAAAAAGTGATATCCGATGCAGGTGTCAGTAACAAATTACAAGGACGTGAAGAGGCTCTCTGGTGATTGCGGAGATGGATGGTGAAACCTTGGAAAACTGCAAAACCAACCTCAGCGTTGAAAATTAAAAAAAAAAAAAAAATGAATAAATCACGAGCCCCGGTTATAGAACCTAATATTTTTTAGTGATTTTTGCTGGGTGGTACTTAGGCGAAATTGTCTACCCGCAGGGGAAAATAATATAGGAGAAACCAATATAATGATGATGAAGTCACAATGAGACCGAGTCCTACCATCGGAAGTGCAGTGCGCAAATAAAAATTACAAAAGCATTGAATAATGGCTGGCACATTGTCGTAACTAGGGAGGGTCCGGGGAGCTAAGTCCCTCCAGTTTTCCAAAAAGCCCCCCCCCGAGTTACGACGAATATAGTTAGATATCTATAAATATTTTATAATAATTATTTGTATTTGTTTCCGTGATTACAACAATGTAGTACAATATTATACTTTTAAACTCGAAGCAAATACATTTTTTTGAGGCTATAGAACCCCAGAGTTTTCACCTTAGTTGCGCCTACGGGCTCGCATCGTAACCATAACCCGTACGAATTATTACGAAAACGATAACGATCGCGACGATTTCCAAACAAATTATTTACGTTGTTAAAAATATGACGCGTACCGCTGTCGTTTTTGCATTTTATAATAAATGTACATTCATATAAAAACGATTCCGGCGTGCATAGCGCACGGTCCAGTTCCAACAGTTCCGTGTTCGTTACTCAATAAAATATTATTATTTCTTGTATAATGTACGATTAACTGTTCAAGAGCTCAGAACAGTACCGGCGATATCCATTATTTTGTTGAAAACGGACAACACCAAATGGCAACTGCACTACTGCAGGGAAAAATTTTCTTTTCGTTTCTATGCATTTATCTTATTTAGGAATTAATTTCATTCGATTAATTTTCGGTCATTGTGAGAATGGCAGTATAATTATGGCACTATAATTACGGTCCTGTGGTGGCACGATCACCCAACCACTGGGTAGCATTAAACTATCACCGAGAGCCACTAGCGCCACGTATTTTGTACATTGAAATATATTCTGCGGCTGGTTATATGACGAATAATTATACAAAAATACAAATTCGTAATATTAATCAAAAATAAAAAAAAACTCGTTAAAATAATGAAAATTTGTTTTCTTTCTAATGGCAATATAAGCATAAGATAGCGTTGTTAATAAAAAAAGTTACTGATTGTTTTACCCCTGAACACCGTTTTCATTAAATTTACCATTTTTTTTTTTAACTATGTATCTGAGACCCGAAAAGTCAAAGTCCATTATATTATATATATAGGTATACAAAATATATATCCACTCAAAAACATAAAAATGGATTGTTTTGAAAAGTATAGCCGCCAAAATTTAACTAGTCAACCATCCCCTCCTAATAAAAGTATACATACTAGTCAATATTCTGGAGAATATTGAAGGTTATTTACGTCCTCGCCCCAAAAACATTTGGGCCATTTACGCCTCTGATCATTTTCTGTTTTGAATACCGTTTTTTTTTTTATTTTTAATAATTATACTGTTGACCGTAGTAAAAACTGTGTTGTTTCGTTTTTAGCCGCGATGTACGGTGTAGAAAAATATTGTGTTTTCCGACTCGTAAAAGCTAATTCACTTCTTGTAAACGTACAACATTTTAATACGCGTATGAGTATCATAAATATTATTTATGAAACACCGAGCAGCGCGTTTTCTCCGGTGATGTTAATCACGTCGTACGGTTTACTTTTAGAGAAGATGACGAGTAGAACCGTTGTCGTCGTCGTAAATTAATTATTCGATGGATATCTCGAAATGAAAAATAATAGAAGTCGTTCCGAATGAAAACACAAAATTATTATAAAGTCTCGTGTCGTTGGAAGAGAAAACGCACACGTGCCGCCGTCTCCTAAAATAATTATTGTTAAACGCCGCATTCGACTTGACGTGTATACCTAGTGAATTCACATTTTTTGCGAATGATATTTTTAAATTTAAAACATTATTACTTGACTGCTGCAATTTCTCTCGATATTCAGTAACGGTCGTTGACGGGTAATATTCGCATAGTATTATAATAATAATAATTTACATCTGATTATTCTCGTGTTTAAAATAAAGCCAACTATGCCATGTCCATCGAATGGAAATAGTACGTTATATCCTATTATTTCGTTGAAAACGCACTTATTTAAAAGCCGGACACGTTTCGTGCCACGAGTAGGCCATTGGTACAGGCGATGGGGAGTTACTGGTATTGGTCGGGGAAAAATCACGATTTGCCGAAGTTTCGGAATCCGAAAATGTATTTGAAATCGGGATTTTAGATTTTAAAACATTGGTTCTGGATGTGTTCACGAATTCGTCATACAGTTGTAAAAAACTAATCGTCATTATGAATATAGAAATCCAAAATTGAAATTCTCGTCGTGTTTTGAAATCCGAAATTCGTATTTTTCGGATTTATGTCATGTCACTAGAAGGCAAACGATTAATAATATTCGTATGATGTTCTGAAAGAAACGACAAAAGCGTTGAAATTCATAGACGATTCTGAGCGAAGATTGGTAATTATCGGCAACGCTTAATAGGTATTGATTGTGTTTTCTTTCGTGACGTGAACAATTCGGATCGTTTTTACCAGCTGCAAAAGTGTTTTCCGCAATAACAATAACGCGTCTTCTTACCACTATAATATCTTCGTCACTATATATATACCTATAGAGTCTACAAAAAATTATCTGTTGAACTTGTTAAGATGTACATGTGTGTCAGGACTAAATTGGGACTGCGTTAAATAAAAAATAACTTACCGTGTGTTTTTTATTCGATAACTATTTGTGCATTTTGAACGTTTCGTATATAATATCATATTATATAGGTACGTTTTTGCTGAAATTTAACAATGGACTGTAACTCGCAGAGCTCGTGACTGTCGATTCCTAAAAAAAAAAACCCCTTATAAAATGCTTGTATCGTGTTAAAAAAAAAAACACATACACACACTGTGTAGAAAAAAAAATGCACCAACATTGGCAAAAGTAATGATAGTATTTATGACATTTGGCGGTTGCAGATGATCGCGATCGTTTCGATTAACCTCATTATAAAACTATTTCAAAATCATTTCCATGTGTCGTTGTGTTCGAAAGGTAGTGTTATAATGTTACGGCGTACACACAAATTATTTAAACGAGATTAAATTTTGTTTGGTTATTTTTTTTCTCAATACTTAAGCATTTTTTTGTTAAATTTCAAATAACGCCTTGAACAATTTTCAGTATTAGAAACGTGCGGGTTTGAGTCGCGTAATATTATTTATATGGCTTGCGGGAAAATCACGTATCAAGCGTTCTAAAAAACCAATCATAAGTCTGAGACCTACTGAATGCGTTAGCTTACATAGTTTGGTACACGCTGAATTCCAATAATGTATAAAAAAAAAAGGTATGTACATCATAAAAAAAATCCAATGAATACTACAGGCCACAAGGTGATTTTTTTTATGTATCGATTTTTTCATGGATTTTTGATTTTTAAGTAAGTTTGATTTTCTGTTTTTTTCTTAATTTTATTCTTCCAATTTAAAAATGCTTATGACTCGCTTGTAGTACTCCTTGAAATATTTGAAGATTTGAAAATCTGCTTATGAAATGTTTTGAGTATTAAATTCTTTACTGCACTTATTCTGATAATTATTGATTTACACAATTAGCTCGATGAAAAATATACTTAGCGGTATCGCTAATCTAAAAGAGGCATTATAAAACTAATTTGATATCAGGCTAAAGTACAAGTGATAAATTGGTTGTGCGATTTTTTTTTTTTTTTCTGAGCGCAGCGAGGAACATAATTTTTTTTTCTAAGAGCTTAGAATATAGTCAATAATATTGTCAGTTGTTATTGGTTGAGGGATTTAGAAAGTTTCGAGTGTAACGATGATGTCGAACAATGTCAAAGTATTAAAATTATCCAAGAATATTATCTACTACTTATCTATTATTATAAACTAGTCATTGTAAAAATATATTACGTATACGTATATTATTGTGTATAATGTTACTGTTAGCGTTGTGAAATTAGTTAATGTTTATACTTTTTGTGTACACAAATTTACGCAGTTCGTTTTAATATTAGAGCGTATTAGAGCCATGTATTAAACTTAAATGTAAAAATATTGTCTGTTTTTATACGTTGATTTTTTTTTCTCTCTCGATATTTTAATTTTCAAGTGAGTTGCGGTTATGTGACGGACATGAAAATCGTACGCATTTTGTCAAACAAAATATTTTGTAGTCCCATTATTTTCCGTTAATATTTTAATCTAACCGTACATACTTCAAAAAAAGATACCGTCATATTTCGCACGAAGGGTGGGCTACCGTTGTAGATAAGAAGTATATATACGCATATACAGAGGTGGCCAAAAAGCCGCGCAAAGCCTACCGTCTTGTATGGAACGCGCGTTACGAATTTGTCGCGCGACTTTTGGCCACCTCTGTATACATATACTGTATATATATATATATATATTGCTTTTAACTAATAGGGTTAATATTTGTACACCTTTAATCATTTAAAACTCTCGATTTTTTTCCCTTGTTGC